ACTGCTCTATTTTGAGAACAATTTAATCACGTTTCTTGATTCTGCGTCATTTCTGTGTGGTGTGCAGCGCCCTGCCAAGTATTCATACGGCTTGAAGTTCTCGGCATTTTGTCAACTTACAAGTTAGAAACAGTATATTTTGGGAATTGAATGTGAAAAAACTCAGCATTTTTTTTTTTTTTTAGTGTAAGGAGTGTTTTTTTTAAGGTTTTACAAAAGTTTTGTGCCTATTTGTAATCATTTATTTAATATGAATAGAAATACTGAAGCTGTTTGGAAAGGGGGCAGGTTTTTTATTTATTATTTGGACCAAATTTGGGAAATAATCAGCATCATGAAGACCGAGAAGAGCAGATGGCTCAGACATATACATTCAGATAACTTTAAAGTAACTTTTGCTCCATAATGAAAAATACAATGAGTGTAGCACAACAGTGAACCTATCAGGACACAGAAGCAAGGACAGCAATAATCAGAAAAACGTAAAACTTTCGGAGGAGCTGCATAGATCCACAACTCAGGGGTGAGAAATTCTGCATTTTTATGAATTTCTCTTTACAGTTTTCAGCGAGTCATTTATGGGGACAAGCAGGCATGAAGAAGTAGTTAGTGTGTAGTGATCGAGGGGGGGACGTAGCATATCACTTACAGAGCAACATTCAAAGCTATTCTGAAAGAAAATTACTCAGAGGCTGCAGAGGATTTGAGGCTGAGTGAGAAAAGCAGGACAACAAAACCTAGAAGGGAAATCTATATTGTCTTTAAAAAGGATTCACATCGTTTCTACATTTTGCAACTTCACAAAAAAGGAAAATCATTAACAGAGATCAATACAAGCTTAACTCCTCCTGGCCAGTAGGTGGCACACTTGCCCACTCTTGCTCCTACCTTCAATTGTAATGCTTGACAGTTAGTGGCAGGGTCTGCTTATATTAATTAGCAATAGTTAGCATTAGGAAATGTTTAATTTGCATGTCTTAAAGGAAGTCAGCCTGAAGCTACTACCAATAAGCTAATAATCTAATATTGATCCAGAATCATTTCAGGTCAATGTCGATTTGGAACCAAATATACATACATTTTGGACCCATCAAAAATGTATAAAACCATTATTTATCTATTATTTTCCCACAATAAAATGAATGTTTTTTTTTTCTGCACCATTACAGATGATCTATGGATGTATTATTTTTGAAAAAGAAACCTTTTTGATGAAAAAAAGTTATTGAAACTGACCTTTAAATTGGCGAAGAAACTAAGGCTGCACATCATAATGAACACACCACCTCAAAAGTGAGTTGCGGTAGTAGCATCATGCTGTGGGGATACTACAGGTTTGTTTCTATTCTTTATTTAGATGAAAGCATATTCATCTGTAAGAAAGGTCTAGTTACCAAAAGTAAATACATTAGAAGTACTTTGCCAATAAATAAATGAGGCAAAAAAAATAATAAAAAATCTCATCCATTCAAATAAAGAAGGGGGCTCAAAACAAATGCATGCTACACTTTTGAGATTTTTAATTATTGTAAATATCTTGAGATCTCATATCCCTTTTGCTTTACCTTCGTAATCATCCACACCTTTAAGAAAATAATACCAGGTACAGTAAAAACTTAAAACTTTTAAGGTTGCAAACAAAAATAATTCAAAAAAGTGTTGAAATGGGTTGTTACAGGGATTTTTTTATTAATTTTTTTGTTCTAGCTTGAGTGAACCTGCAGCTGTATGAACTTTTCATCCTAAAATCCTAAACACATTGTTGTCCCTTAAGTGCCAGCTATTGATTAAAAAAAGGCATCCTAAACTTTCAGCTAAGTTGTTTGGACAGTTAGTAATTTCACCAAGGAGGTCGTGTCCTTTTCAGAAGCTTGTCAAGCTCCATTTGAGTTGTGTTGACATTTTACCAAAATGTGAGCATGGCTTAAATTAGAAGTGACCAACCATCGATGGGATATTTCTAATCCTCTTTGGCAGCAGTTTGCTTTGTGGGACTTTTTTTTTGTAATCTTATACGCTCACAGTTCCAGATATTATGGTTCCAACACGGATGATGATCTAACTTTTCAAACAGCTATTAGACCCCTGCTGTAAATATTTTTTGGAGCTTGCTCTGTTCAAAGAATTGTGTTTTCTGCAAAGTCATGGTGATAGTCAGCAAAAAAGAAAAACAAACAAAAAACATTGTTTCAAATTATTTGAGTTATCTCTAGTATCTCAATGGTCATTTAGAATGAAAGACCAGAATACGTCAGGTTAGATTTCACCTAAAGATATCTTTTCTGAATTTATAAGCGGTAACAGCAGACGTGCTTCCTCATAGGGGGGTGCGTATTTTTGCTTTTGCTATCATGTTTCTGCCTCAGGTCTAAATAGGGAAAGTAGCTGTGCTTTTCCTGTATGAAAAAATAGACAAAAAACATTTATTCTGCCATCATAATATTCTTATGCAAAGGTTTGGATATTTTCAGAGATGGGAAGTAATGAAGTACAAATACTTCGTTACTGTACTCAAGTAGATTTTTCTGATATTTTTACTTTACTTTACTACTTATTTTTATGGCGACTTTTTACTTTTACTCCTTACATTTTTACACAAATATCTGTACTTTCTACTCCTTACATTTTTAAAAATTGGCTCGTTACTTTAGTTTTGAATCATTTCAATGGAGTTACCGTTATTATTTTTCACGTCATCAATACCAAATTCAATCTAATTGGATGGGAATCTATCTTGCATTTGACGCACCACTACAAGATGAATCGACAGATTCGGCGGTATTCATTCGCGGCAAATCATTGCAGCTTGGTGGCGGTGGCGTTAGCATAGTAGCATGGACGACGAGATGATTGAAAATGAACACAACGGAGATCTAGTCCTATTGGCAGACATCCATTTAAAATGTAGGCAACGGCATGAAAAAAGTGGTTTCTACTTTTACTTTTATACTTTAAGTAAATTTACAAGCCTGTACTTTGTTACTTTTACTTGAGTGAAGAAGTTTAATCAGTACTTCCACTTTTACCAGAGTATTTTTTAACACAAGTATCTGTACTTTTACTCAAGTACGGAAAGTGAGTACTTTTGCCATCTCTGGATATTTTTTAGGAAATAAGGGAACAGCACTAGCAGGTTAAAATCTTATTTGTCTGACAGATTTTAGTTTGTTCTTGTTAATGATAAACCTTGCTCATTCTCCAGGATTACCTGTGGAGTACCACAGGGATCAGTGTTAGGACCAATTCTCTTTACTATATATATATATATATATATATATATACCGGTATATATATGCTCTCAATCGGTAGAGTTATTAGACAGCATGGGATTAATTTCCACTGTTATGCTGATGATACTCAGCTACGTATATCTGTCTATGAATCCAGATAAAGCTAACCCATTATATAGATTATAGGAATGTCTTGTAGACATAAAAGCCTAGATGACCTTTAAGTTTTTGCTCCTGGATGCAGACAAAACAGAAGTTATAGTCTTTGGATCAGAATTGTTAAAAAGAAGCTGATAAGTCAGTCGCTTCATTTGGATGGGATTAAATTGATCTCAGATAAAGTGTAAAATCTTGGTGTTATTTCTGACGACGGCCTGTAGTTTCATAAAATTAATTTTATGAAAGCATACAAATAGCAACCTTGTTACAGACAGAACATTTCATTATGTTTCCATTTTTGTTTCAATTTTGATGCTGTGAATATCAGATCTTCAAGACATCTTCAGCTGCTCATGTTGAATTTCTGTTAATTTCAATTCATATTTTTCCTTCTGAAATTTGTATTTAGAATAAAAATAGTTTTATAATAATTATTCAAAACCAGTGGAAAAAAAAAAAACAGGAAAATTAGTCAATTTTCTGGGCATAGAATCATTTTTAAAGACTAGTCTTTAAAAGTTATGTTGCATCATTTAAGGCAAAACTACTTTTTTGTACTTTTATAGTGGAAGCACAAAGTAAAAACTTTATTACTTTAACTCCAATAAGGGAGTTCAGTTTGTACTCTTGCTTTTATCACACAGGTATCTGTACTTTTAAATAAAGCATGTGAATTCTTTTGACACCTCGGATTCTCAGCTGAAGTGCTGCATATGTTGCTTCTTGCTGCTTGACACAACAGTGAAGAATCCGAGGGGTATGAGTATTTCAGATTATAATGTTGTGTGAATAGGAAAGTTTTCCACTTTTGAGCTGCAGTGTCTCCAAGGTGGCCTCTGACTGCCGCCTGCTTCCTTTCATTATTCGCTCGTTCTTCTCTGAGCAGAAGGGCTTTGCCTTCTCCGTGCTTTTTGAGTTTATGGTGTCAAGTGTGTTTGCAAGTGTTGCTCCTTGAGTTGCTGTGTTCTTTTCAGACATTAAGCACGCTCCTGTGCGTTAACCTCACAGTGTGTATGTGTGTGTCTACGTGCCAGGCGGTGTGTACATATAGTCTCCTCTGGAGTGACTCATGCATTGACGTGAACGGCTTCAGTCACTCACACGCCTGGCCCAAGCACATGGCTCTCAGAAAACACACTGCCTGCCTTCATGTGCTGTCTTTTTCTCCACCCCCCCATTCCTCTCCTTCATTTCCGTTATTTCTCTTCTTTTTCACAGAATCCACCAATTTTCCACTGTGGGTACATCTGTTCCTTTGCAGACAATGGCAGGCATTATTGGTCCATGATTGAGGTGCATGCCACTAACCCAGTTTATCTGGAGAAACAGAACAGAGAGCAAACTTTCACTTTCCCATTTAACATCTATTTCTTTTCCGGGAATAATCTCTATTATTTTTCAAACTGAACATCTTTTCGTTCTGAATGCGGGAGGTGCTCAGGAGTTGGCAAAACAGACATGTTTCCCTATAAGTTTCTAAGAAAAGAGGGCTGAGCGAGGACGTGACTGTGGGTCAAAAATAAAATCTCTCTCTTCCAATGGGACTTTGGTAGCTCCTTTGCTGGCGCCTCTTTCTTTTCTCCCAACAGAGATCCGGGGCTCAAACAAAGCCGTGTCTGGATTTGCGTTTCTGGCATTTATTTGCACATAGCTGAGACAGAAGGTCAGCTCACAATGAGAGCATTTGAACCAACACAGCTGTACTTTTAACAGTTATTTCCAGCGTTGCAATCCGGTCAATAAAACCTGATGCTACAGGTTCAGTGACCCACATACAGGGAGAGAAATCCCAGCTTAACCCGCCCTGTCTTTCTTGCTGAAGCTTCATGGAAGTGCAGCTTGTGTGAGTGTGCGTGTTTAAATTTGGCGTGCTCTCTTTCCTGTTTGTCTGACTCCATGAACTCCGCAGCTCCAGACACGTCTGTCATGAACAGACAAAATGTAAGGGAAATTAAAACCTGCTTCATTAAAATTTGCTCCCAACTTTTTTATCGTGGGTCAGCGCATATTTAAGTCTCCGGTTTGAGATTTGTCCCCTTCTCTTTTTTTGTCCCCCATTAAACCTGCTGAATGTAAACAATCTTTGTGTTCCATTGGCAGGAACCTGAGCTTGGAAGCTTTTCTGCAGCTTATGGCGGCCCGCTGGAACATGCCATGTAAGCAGTGAAACACAAACAACAGCTGATGTTTTGACTCCCTAGCGTCCCATTTCCAGCCCTGAGAACCCTGTTTTCTCTCTCTACGGCCCTTGGCAGCGTGGAATCTTGTACGTGTCTGTGTTTTCTGCGCGGATCCGCTTTTACGTAACAGCTCGGCTTGTTCTGAGGAAAAGGTGTTACTGTAACACGTTGAGTCCTGGCTACATGTGAGCAGCCACTCACATGGGCCCCACCGTTCTCTCTCCCTCCCTCCAGGTGTTTGGATTAGAAAGAGGAAGGAGTGAGTGGCGGGGAGGAGCAGGGAGGCCCTTACTGTAAACCTACTCCTTTTCTGTCACCAATCAACGTCTGCTACATTACAGCCTCTGTTAATGTCTGTCTCAAAAAATCTTTTACAATTCCTCACCAGACTTCCTTTTAGAAAACACATACCTGATGAATAGAGTCAGTCTGTGTTAAAACATTGAAAAAAAATAATCGAAATCTAGATAAGTAATTTTTTCCTTAAAATAAGTGCATTTGTTCCTGATTGCGGAGGTAAAAGAGACATTTTCCCAATGGAACATTTTAAAACATTTAAAATAAGAAAACACAATTGGATTGTCTTAATTCAAGTGCATTTTATATAATAATCTTATTTTAAGAGTAAAAATACTTATTCCCTTGGCAAACTATCTCATTTACCTACTCAAATTAAGGACAAATACACTTAATTTCAGAAATTTTTACTTATTTCTAGATGGTTTTTCCAGTGTAAATTAATCTTAGCGTAAATTGAATTGTTTCACGAAGGCCTTCAGAGGTTTGTTGCATGGGGAAAAAAAGTGGACAAAGAGAAGCTGCATTATGATGACTGGGAAACAGGTCAGACAGAATGAGGTGTAATAGTTTAAATCAGGACTAAGTGTCCCAATAAATGACCACAGTGAAGATTCATGGAAAAAGAGAAGTTTTGACTTTTGAGGAGCTGCAGAGATGGAGTGAATTTTATTCCATTATTGTTTTTTTTGGGAAAAGAAAAATGTTTTGTAAATGGAAATTATAAAAACAACATGTAAACCAAAAATAAAACTTAAAAAAGAACGTCTTATTAAGTGTTTCTAACATCAATGCAGACCAATAGAAACCGGTCTTCTGGTTTTCTTCATTTCAGAATCTGATTTCTAAAAGGAAATTAAAAAACAAATGAAATCTGTAAAACTCAATCTAAAAAAGACATTTTGAAAAAACAAAATAAAGAAAGAAATATTATAATATTTTATCTAATATAAATATTAAACAGGGCTGCTCATTGGCGCAGAAGGTTCCAGTTTGATTCCCAGTCCGGGATCTTCCTGCATAGTGTTTGCATGTTCTCCCTGAGTATGGGTGGGTTCTCTCCGGGTACTCCTGCTTCCTCCCACAGTCCAAAAACATAACTGTTAGGTTTATTGGTTTCTCTAAATTCTCCTTAGGTGTGAGTGTGTGTGTGTGAATGGTTGCTGTCCTTGTTGCCTCTGTGTTGCCCTGCGATGGACTGGCGAACTGTCCAGAGTGAACCCCGCCTCTCGCCTGTAAAATGGATGGATTGATGAAAATATTAGATAAAAAGACAAAAAAGATAAAATTGGGCTTAACAAAACTGCAAAGCTTCTCCCAAAACCTTATTTGGAATAAGACATTTTTAAAAGTTATTTTCCTTTCCTTTCAGGATTGCCTTTTCTTTTTTTTATTTTCATTTACAAAAATTTCTTTCTTTTGTTGTTGTTTGTTGTTGCTTGCAACAACATAATAATATCATTCAATCCATACAGGGAAAAGCACAGTCTTGGTTTCCACAACTCCGACCTAAATAAAAAAGGGGGGAAGAAAAAGGACATTTTTAAAATAAAAAGTGCTGTTTGTAGCTTGCCCAAAGTCACACAGTGGACACTGCAAACATGTGAAAGACTGTGGAAGGATGTGCTCTTACCAGAGCAAAATGCAAACTAACATGTTGAAGAGAAAACCTAACTCTACAAAGCTCTGTGAAAACACCAACACAGTGATGGCAGCATCATGCTGTGGTGATTCTTCGCCTCAACAAAGGCAGAGAAAATGGTCAGAGTAGGAAGTAAATACAGTCATTCTGTGAAATCTGAGGTTCTTCTTCCAGCAACATCCAGTACAGGCTAAAGCATACGTATGCGTTAAAAGGCTAAGTCAAAGTTTAGACTGAAATCTATCCGAAAAAGCGGTAAAACATGAAAAAGTGAGGTTTTAATCAAAATGCACTGTGCAGGTTAAACTTTTTTTTTTCATACTTTACTTTGTGTTTGTCTGCTGTAGCTGTACTGCAGCACCGTATTAATAACAATCTATTTGTTCAATGATTAATAAATCCTAAATAAGAAAGACAATTTTTTTTTACAACTATGATGTTTCTTCCTTAGCACGTCCACATTTCAACATAAAACAATTAAACACCCAACGGATAAACTTTACGACCGGATCATCAAGCAGCTTACTGTAACTGATTGCGCAAGGTTTCCTCTCGTACTTCTTATCTACCCAAATTTATTTACCATGAACTGTTTACCACTGGTGTCATAGTTAAAGAACCATTATAAATGGCAGCAAAGGGGAGAAAAAAACTTTTTTATTATTATTGTTTGGTTTTTTTTAAAGTTGATGCACATCTTTATAGGTTTAAAAATGTCTCTTTCATTGAATAATGGGGAAATTCTGCTAATAGTTTAACATGTTGCATTTTTTCAGATATTGCAGAATAATAGGTGATGTTTTTGGAATATAATCAGCTTTTTATGGATAATAAAAAATACATGATGTTAGATATTTGTTCCCGCATGCATTGTTTAATGGTTATAGTTTTTTTCCCCACTGTAATCACCTTGATTTGTCCTTTCTAACTCAGAAGACTGCTGTTACAGAGGGGAGGAAATGCATTTAACATGCACATTATCAAACTGCAGAGACAGTTGGACTGATTCCCCTTTTTTTCTCTGATTACCTCCAGGAAACGAAGGCCTCATTAAATGTGTAACTATGTGTCTCTGAGTTGAAGACAGAGCTAGTCATTTGCCCTTTTCACGCTGCATGTTCAAAGTGTGCTAAAGCCTCTTCACTGCGCATCTTCCTTTGAAGCAGGAATGTAAAGGGAGTTGTTGAAATGACATGCCTCTAAGGAATTATCTGTGAGTACATGTAGGTAGGAGGTACAGTATAGTCACTCAGCTGGTTCTGTCACTTACTTTCTGTTTTGCAACTTATGTTTTTTGTTGATGTTCTCAGTTGATGTTCCATATAAAGGCTTAATTAGACCAAACCCTGAGGCGATGGGTCAGTGACAGTCATTGTAGCATTAGTGTGTTATTTATTGGAAACTGTATTTGCATAAGTTAAGAATGAAAAAAATGTCCTGTCAGTTTCAACCAGTTATTGAATAGTGTTCTAAAAGTCGATCACGTTCCGCATGGCCGCCTCTGCTTCCTTGGCAGACAACATCTTAGCCCTCCTTTAACTTGAGATTTGCTGTTGGGTCACTTTCATTTTGATTTTTTTTTTTTTTTGCTCTCAAATTTGCACTATAAAAGCTGAATTAGTGTTGTCCTCACTTTTTATTCATGTAATTGGAATTTAAAAGCATTGGCATAAAAAAATGAATTTCACAAAAGGTCTGAAACTGAGTGCATTTCCTTAGAAAAAGTATTTTGTAATTCACCAGGTGAAACATTAAAGGGACACTATGCAACATTTTTCAGTTAATTAATGTGTTCCATAACGTTATGGATGATTAAATGAGTCATTTCAGGTTGAACAAAGGTATTCTCGGCCGCCCTGGTGGTCTGTGGGGGAAATACTGCACTTGCAACTGCAGGAGCACCGACCCGCACCCACAGGCTCAGAAGTCTCGTTAGAGTCAGTCTTGCTTTACGGCGAGAACTGCTACACGCCCCCAGTTAAAAGCATTCTCGTTGCTAGCACAGTGGCGATCTTTGTGCAGTTATGCTACGTTCACGCAGCAAAAGCAGCAAAATCGGGTCTGCTGCTTCATTTTTGCTGCTTGTACCAGTTAGTTCTGACTCGTGGCTGAAGCAGCTTTGCTGCTCCGGCTGTGTCTGAGGCGTGTTGGGCGGAGCTTCACTATCCTCTCTCTGCCTTGCAGCTATATTTGCTGTGATCAGTGGGAATAAAGTAGTTTTAATATGTGTTTAAGTGAGAAAATACACCTGAAAACGTAATCAGTGCAGTCAGTTCATTCAGATTATTATCCTGCCTTCAATATTTTTTCTGTCGGAGCCGCTCAGACCCCCACATACCAGCGGGGCGCCAACAGTATGGATCCCTTCATCAGCAGCGGTTCACCGCGGCAGCTGGTAGGTGTTTTTCATCTAAATAATCCAAACTGCATATTCTGCCGGCAGATTTCTGCATTTTAAGTTAATTTAGGCGTCAATAAACTGTTTAAGAGGAGAGATCATCAGCGCTGTGTCTCTCTCCCTGCGTTAAACGCACCCGACGCGCTGCTTCAGCTGCTTAGACGTGGTGCGCCTGGTGCTCAAAACGCGCCGCGGGACCTTTTGCTGCGCTTTGACGCGCGTCAACCATTGACTTTGCATGTAAACTCGCTGCTTCTGTCGCGCCAGCTACGTCCAGTGTGAACGCAGCGTTAGTCATTCGCTGCTAAGCTCAAAACAACCGCGCCTGGCTTGACGGAGAAACCAGGAGAACAGCTGTGCATATTTACGACAGTGCACTTTTACTTTCGCCCTCTGGGGGGAGCCTCGCTGGAAAATCAACACCGGTTGCATAGTGTACCTTTAACCTGACTCCGCAAGATAGATTTGCTCCGCATATCCATCTGGAAACCTTCCGTAGAAGTAATTTTGGGAAGGGGCAAAAATACTGGTTAGCTGATTGGCCTATGTTGGTGATAGACAGGCCAAACAAACCTATCAGATCAACGAAGCATATGACGTAACAGAGCGACGACGAAGAGGAGCCAACTGATAGATCAA